GGCCTTGTTCTATCAATGGTTAGAAGGATGTTGTATACATTAGGAGTGTAATGTATATGGTATTTGTTTCAACAAATGATTATTAGCTGTACCCAGGTGACACGATGTTAAATCAACATGGATGGATTTTATATAATAAAAAGAAAATTAAAAACACACACACACAGGTTCTAGGAAAAGACCATAAAATGTGGGAAATGTTTTACTCTAGACAGGTCTCAAATGTGGGTTTTTATTGTCTGTACTCTTGAACTTATTCCAGGTTTCCTTGTTGGCCATCATCTCCAAAGCGTCACAGCCACTGCAAAGAGCGGCAAGTGCGCGCAGAAGGGCCCCGAATTCGCCGCTGTGGAGTTTCAGACCCAGGAAGCCTCAGGGCATGCCCAGGGGGCCTAAGGCATGCTCAGGCATGCCTTAGGACCACCCACTTTTCTACACAGACCCTCCAACGGTGCCTATTGGTCTACAAGGAAGCAGGCTGGCCCTACCCTTCAGGAGCCAATCCTCAGGCCTCCCTAGGGTCACGGGGGTCCCCCAACTCTAGGTAAACCTCCTATAGGTCCACGGGGGCCTCCACAACCCCCTGACATCACCCAAAACCCCGCCCCTTCCGGCGGAGGGGGCCAGGGTTGATCCTTGACCGGATGTCCTGCCTTACAGGGCTGTTGTAGCTGTCAAATTGTGATTTGATGTATGCTATGCTATATAACTACTAGCCAGAACTGGAACTAGGGCCATAACTAGGGAGGAAGAACCGGGGCATCTCAGGGCACCATATTTGGCAGTCACACCTCTTCCCTCACACTGTGAATGGCCTGGCAGCTTGGGGCACTACCAAAGGAAAATATGCTAGTAAACCTAGTGTCTGGGGGAGAGGGGGAACGCTGGTTGGTATACCAGGCCTCAATGAGGCAGAAGAGAGCAGATCTATGCAGGGTTCAGTAGACCAATTCAATAAAAATACCCTTACGTTGCAACATAATGAAGATAACACACTCATTTCAGGTGGTGACTCAAAAGGACAGAGGAATAAATGGGTTCTGTCACTCAACAGCCAATCTGTAGCAGACTCAGAACTAGCAGGCAAGATTGAATGGAGACAATGGAGAGAAATGCTGACAAATTGCATAACCCATCCACATTACATAATTAGAAGTGCATGATGACAATGATGACAGCAATGTAACAAGCTATCTTTCTGAAACCAAAGCAACAAAATGGTAATGTGCCTGCCGAGGTGGATAATGAGTAATGTAATGACTTACTATTGAACAGTAGCATTCTAAGTGCTGCTAAGTAGTAGAGATAGGTCAGCACATGGGAAGAGAATACAGTATAGTGATTCAGAGGGAAAGCAAGGTTAAGAGGACAGCTACTAGAAGTCAACACTGCGCAACAAAACAGAGACAGAACTGGTGAGACAGAGAGAAGTGGAAGCTGAAATCAAGCTTATTTAAAGAAATTATTTGTTTTATAGAACCATGTCTTGCTTAAGTCTTTAATGGGAACAAACATCACTTGAAAAACTCAGCAGATCCCATCTTGGAGCTCCTGCCCCATTCTGTAAATATGTTGTACAAACAGAGAGCACACCAGTTGAGTAACAGACAGGTTTTCTGTAGTTTGCAGAGGTAACAGGCAGATTTTCTGTGGTTTGTGCACACTCAGAAAGACATGAGGCAAAGTCACAAAATACACAGTACAAACAAAGCCAATGGAAACAATCCAAAAATGCCAAGGAAACCCCCTAGAGTAGCTTCCTTTAAATTAAAAAAAAAAAAACACCAGAAAGCATTTCAGTTTCATTTCTCCAGTTACTTTCCAGTTCCTATTTAAGCTCCTATTATGCTTATAAGAGTTTCATTTTCTACTGACAATTAAGAGAGGAAACTGGTAAGTGAATTTGTTTTTCTGGTGTCCCATTTTCATGGTGATAGATGCGGTAAGATATGCAGAATATCACTTATCTTTTAATGTACTGCTAAACTTGTTTAGATGAAGTGAACCATATTTAAATAAATCTCTTAAAAGTTGCAGCAAAAGACATGATTCTGTTTTCCTAACATGTAAATTATAAGATATTTAGACTGCCATTATTTGAACAATTATAAAATGAGATAGAACTGGCTAGGAAACATATGCTATGTTGTTGAACAGGGATGACAAAATTTAAATATTGCTGTTAAAAGAAATAATTAAATACATAATTTGTGGTCTGCACAGTGGCAAAAAATGTGAAGAACAAGACCACACAATAAGATCATTTTCTGAGTAGTTCCCAAGGAGGAAATAATAAATGCTTAGCAATCAGATTTGTTGCAGGAAGGTGCTCCTAGGTCGACAGATGTCACTTCAAGATTTCAGGAGCATGGATCTAGAGGTCTTTGTGCAAGCAGACTGGGAGTTTTTAAATGGTCATTACTGTAGTGACCATTTAAATGTGGTGGTGGTGCGGGTTAAACCGCAGAAGCCTCTGTGCTGCAAGGTCAGAAGACCTGCAGTCATAAGATCAAATCCAGCGACGGAGTGAGCCCCTGTCGCTTGTCCCAGCTCCTGCCAACCTAGCGATTTGAAAGCATGCAAAATGCAAATAGATAAATAGGTACCACCACAGTGGGAAGGTAGCGGCATTCTGTGTCTAGTTGCGCTGTGACCACGGAAGATTGTCTCCGGACAAACGCTGGCTCTATGGCTTGGAGACAGAGATGAGCACCACACCCTAGAGTCGGACACAACTGAACAAATTGTCAAGGGGAACCTTTACCTTTACCTTTCTGTAGTAGTAATTAACCTGTAAAATTTCAGAAAGATAGGTATGAGGGTAGTACCATGAGAGAATGTGAATGCTACCTCCACTCTGGGCAGTGCAGTCGGCTAAACCATTGACAAGAGGTCCCATTAATTCCAGACTGTCCAAATGGTTGAGCCAGACTTTATTAAAACAGGGGAGCAGGGTACAAAATACTAGCAGGTGCCAATTACACTGTGACCCTCTAGTCCACCGTTTCTATCACACACTCCTTAGTCCAGTTTCTTCCTGACCCCTAGTTTCTATCACGGGGGGTCAGTGGGGTGCTCTGTCCATGGGTGGCATCAAGTCTTCAAGACAGTCCCAAGCCACCCATCTCCCTTCTGGCAGAGTTTATAGTGCTGGCTACTCAGAAATGGGGGTGGGTCCCTGGTCCCTCTTCTTGCCATGGCTGGTGCTCCCACTGGTATTTGCAGCTTCAGCACTTCCTCTGTGGTCTCTGAGGCCTCCATTGGGTTGGCGATGGTGGCAGGTTGAAAATGAGGACTCCTCCTTCACAACCTCTCCCTTTAGCCACCAGGGACTTCACGCAAGGCCCTGTCTGGAAGTCCTGTTCAAACATGTATTCTGCATCCTTGATGGTGCACAGGACAAGATCCAACTCTCCCTCCATTTCATCCCACTCTTTCCTGCCTGAGTGTGATGAGTCTTCCATGTAACTAAGTCTCTTCTCCTTCTTGTTTTTCTTCCCTTGCCCCCAGTGGCTCTTCCTCAGACCAGGCCTCCAGCCCTTTTCCCAGGGGTACCCCATCACCTCTCTACTCCTCACCTCCACCTGCTCGGGGTCCTCCTGTCTCTGTGCCCACCTGGGGCCCAGGAGCTTTGAACTTTTCCAGGCCTTTCAGAAGGTGCACAGGGGTGAGGGCAGATGTCTTTGCCAAGAAAGCGGGGTGGTGGTGGTGGAGGATCACTTGGGTCCTCCTTCCTGCCTCTTCCTCTGCCTGGGCCAGATAAAAAAGCAAGGTGGGCCAGATGTGAGCCGTGGGCTGTAGTTTGGAGAACCCCTGCTCTAGAACATGGGTTCCCAGCCTGTGGATAATGACCACAAAGAGGGTCATAAAATGTTTAATGGAATGGGGGGGGGAATGTGGCAGCTTTCAAGAGGAGGGAGACAAATCGCCCTCAACTAGCACCCTCCCAGTTCCCTTCTGCACACACACACACACCTCACTTGTACTGCTTCCCCACCACCACCAAGCTCTCTCTGCTGTGGGGCTCCTGGGTGCCTGGAACGTCCTGATCTGGCACTCTTCTTCTCCACTGGCGGTGGTGATGGCAGAGTGGCTCCTCCATGGCTCTGATGGCTGGCTGGCTTGGACGGGGACAGGGAGGACAGGGAGGCCGGAGCCAGTGGCAGCCCCTGGGAGTCAGGTCAGTTCCATCAGGGGTGGCGAGGCCAGGAGGCAGCAGAAGGCTGGAGGGGCAGAGGGACAAAGGATGGTGGAGGGGGGGGAAGGCCACTGTCATGGCTGAAGCAATTTCACCCTCTCCTTGTCTCACCCATCACTACCATCGTAGGGAGGAGGAGGAGGAGGAGGAAGAGGTGGGGCCACTGTTGGAAGGGAGGACAAAAAGGGCAACCGTTCCCTTCCTTAGGGAAATCTCGCCCTTCCCCAGTAAAACCCAATATTTTTAACCATTTTATTTATTCATATCTAAACATACAAACTTAAAAATATTAACAATCTAACAGATAATCAACAAAACAAAAAAACAACACAGCTAATCATAGGGTTGCCAGACGTCCGGCAAAAGGAAGACATGTCCTCCTTTTTAGCCTAATGTCCTCTGTCCGGCTGGCAAAGCTAGAAACCTTTAAAATGTCCGGCTTTTGCAGTATTTTAAGTAATAATTTTGGATGGGAGAGGGAGAGGTGGAAGGTGGAAAGCAGTCTCTGATGGAGTCACAGTCTAAGACACCACTTGGGACAGTAAAATCAAGCCACGCCCACGTGGAACCTTTGCTTCTGGAAGTAACTTCCTGCTTTGTTTTGTGCAAACTGCACGTAAAGATTAGCAAGGAAAGGAGAGCAAGATAAACACACACGCACACACAAACACACACACACACACACACACAGAGAGAGAGAGAGAGAGAGAGAGAGAGAGACAGACCATGAGAGAGAGAGAGAGAGAGACCATGAGTGAGAGGGAATGGGCAAAGCAAAAGGAGAGAGTCGAGAGAGAGCAGCAGCAGCCAGAGAAGGGCAGGATCTTTTTTTTTAGAGCAAAAAAGGTTGTGGGTTTGCCTTGAGGTATTCAAGCGAGCAGCAGGAGTCGAGAAAGGAGAGGCGGCGGCGGCAGCTAGAAAAGATGGAGGAAGGCTAATGGAGAACGAGTGAAGCTGCAGGGAAGGGGAGCCAGAGCAAGAGTGGGGCTTCACACCAGGCACCTGCCAGAGAAAGAGGGAGAGGGAAGGAGAAGAGGCGGCAGCGGCCACTGCCACCGCCGCAGCAAAAGGAGGTGAGAAAGAAAGGGGAACTTACTCACAGAGCTCGCCTTGGCGCAAGTGAAGGAGCAACAACAGCAGGCACCAGGATATGTCATGTAATTAATAAAGATTATAAGGTAATAATTGTACAATTGGCTGTTTAAATATATATTTTTTGGTATTTTGAAAAAAGCCTCCATTGAATTTAATTTTATTTTTTAACATTACTGTTTTTTGGTCGGTTCACTAAGAGACATTTATTGGCAGCTATTGTAATAAAATTGTATTGATCGGGGGTTTAATCCAGAATGATTCAAATGAAACATTCAATACGTCCTCCTCTGTCCTCTTTTTTGTCTTTCTCTGCCCTCCTTTTGGTACCCACATATCTGGCAACCCTAGCTAAGTATCCATCCTTCCCCTATGGATCAGAGATTTCACCATTGTCTGGTCAAACCCAGTTTTAACCTACCTTCGTGACCCCACCCCCTCCTGGAGCCTGTTCAGCTACTGTCAGGGTGGGGGCGGCAAGTAGATTTAACAAATACTCAGCTGCGAATTTAGAAGTTGGCTGTCCAGATGCAAGTACAACCATCCCATTAAAAACTAGATCAGAACTGTATTCTGAAAAAAAAATCTGTTTTAATGTGTTTTCTTTACCTCGTGTGTCTTTTTAGGAAAATGTGGCAGTGGGTGTTGCAGGTTACCTGGCTCTTATAAAAGGCAATCATGGCTCATGAAAGGTTGAGAAACTCTGCTCTGGGACTTTCAAAGCAGCAGCCCTACAGTTTAGGTAGTAGCCTGATATGTTTCAGGATATCCAGAAAGGCCCCAGCTTTGCTTCAGAAGAACTCCGAATCTGGCACAAGATTTGGGATTTGTGCCAATTGAAAGCACACTCTAGTAGGAATTTTTCCCAATTGAAATTATGTGATAATGAAGTTTTATTGCTCTGTACTGCGTCTCACTTTTGTGGAACCTTATAATAACTACAGTCTCCCCTTATGCCCTTTATATTTTGACATAACTGCTCTGATTGCTAGGACCGCTGATTTCAGACAAAATGCATACAGTTTTGAACAGGAAGCAGCAGTGTGGCTAAGCTGCAACATTTTAATGCAAATCCATCTTGTCTCCCTTGACAGTGCTATCTGGGTCAAATGAGAAAAAAAAATACTTATTTTTAGAAGAGATATTCTCATGGATGATGAAAGCCATCTGCCATAACATGATTTCCTTCAATCTTGCATCGAATGTGCTTTCTTTTGCAAGTGGTCATTGGAAGATACAGATGGGGTTCTTTTTCAACCCTGATCACCGAGTCATATATTGTTGGGGAAGTTCTTTTGTAGCCAGGAAAATATGTTAATCAAAGGAAGTAGTACATATTCCTTCTATTGTTAGTTAGTGGTTATCCAGAATGCTTTGCAGCTGTAATAAATCAGAACTAACTTTTTCCATTGACTTCATTTATTTCTTCTCTTCTTAGATATTAAGAAACCCAGTGTCTGTGTGCTTCAAAGTGAGGCATATCGTTCAACAGACCTTATTCCCAAGAGGTAAGCTTAGGCATGCAATTCTTCACTTATGAACACAGCAAAAGTTTATTTGAGCTGAATGGAGATTACTTCTCAGCGAAAGGGTATACAGGTATTAGCTTTACAGCCTTACCAGAGGAATAAGAGTGATTGAACTTCCTTCTGAGTGTGCTGACAGGGAGGATCACTTGCAGACACAGTACGTATTCAGGAACATTCTGTATGTTTCACAATACAAAAGCAAAGCAGGCTATAGATTCTGCCCCCCAGCAAGCTGGCTACTCATTTTAACAACCTCAGAACAATGGAAGGCTGAGCGAACCTTGCTTGAGCCAGGTATTTGGGACTGATCCTGGGTCGAGAGCAGAGTATTGGCTGCAGTACTGCAGTTTAACCAGTGCGCCACTAGGCTCCTCATTTTCTTTCTGGCTCAATCATACACAATGCCTGCCCTTGCAATCCTCTTTGACCTTACTTGGAAGGAAACACATTGAATTCAGTGGTACTTATTTCCAGGTATAGATGGCGTTGAAGACGAGACCTCTAGCCGATTTCTTGTATTGTGAATTTGAGTGTATTGTTTTAGAAGAGGTCGTTGTGATAGTCTGTGATAGCATATCAGGCAAAATAAAGAAGAAGAAAAAGTTGTGGCCTCCTAAGGACTAACTGCTATATTTTAATGTGAGCTTTTATGGACAAGTCCGCTTCCGCAGACATATATGAACTTGTCCAGGAAAGCTCACATTAAAATATAGCAGTTAGCTTTTAAGTTACCACAACATTTTTGTCTTCTTTCTTTCTTT